GTCCGCCCCCCGCCCGTCCTGGCCCGCGGCGCCCGCTCCTCAGGCCGCGGCCTCGGCGCGTCTCCGGGCCTGGGAGGCTCCGAAGCCCGGCCCGTGCCCCTGCGCCCCTCGTCCCCCAGGGCCGCGGAGCCCCGCCACCGCTTAGTGGGCCCTAGGGAGGCCAGGACCCTGGGACGGACCACAGGGGAGGACCGGACCTCCGAACCGGTCACCGGGGAGGGCCGGACCCTGCAATGGGTCACCGAGGAGGGACCAAGGAGTACCGGATCCCAGGACGAGCCACCGGGCAGGGCCCGACCCCGGCACCCGCCAGCAGGCAGAGACCAGAAAGCGCTGGACCCTGAGACAGGGCACTGAGGAGCGTCCAACGCTAGGAAGGGTCATCGAGTAGGGTCCAAAACTAGTACAGGTCACCAAGGAGGGTTGAGACCCCAAGACTGGTCAGACCCTGAGTCCTGTCACTGGGGCGGGTCAGACCTCAGGACGGGCCAGGACCCTGGGATGGCTCAACTGGGAAGGCTGGACCCTGGGACTGTGCCATGAGACAGGGCACGCTCCATGGCCCAGGCTTCAGGGATGACCAGGACCCCGTGTAAGTCCCTTCAGAGGGTGGCAGTGTTGCGGCAGGACTGTGAGGGAGGGTAGGCTCTCGGAAGGCCGGGATCCTGGTAAGAGCTGGAACTTGGAGACAGGTCTTCAGGGACACCAGGACTCCTGAACAAGGGGCAGAGAAGTGCCCAGGCCACAAGAGTGGACTGTGAGGAGTGCTGGGACCCAAGCTAGGCCCCCAAAGTTGGGGCAGGATCCAGAGGGGCCCAGAATCTCCCCAGCCCACTTCACTGGACCCCTCCCCCTCCACTATGAAGGCTTTGGGACACCAGGGATCCTGGTCACCTGGCCCACAGGTGCATCCCCCCTTCCAAGAGGCCCCTGGTTACCCTAACGTGAGCACCAGGGCCAGCCTCACAGACCTTCCTGCCTGCAGCAGATGCCACGAGGCTGGGACCTGGAGGCAGACGTGAAGCAGGGTTGGGGATTCAAGGGGACTCCTCGTCCACACTGGCTCCTAGGCCAGCACTGTGTCTACTCCCAGCCCCGGAAAGCTGTCCCCTACTCTGTTCTCCATTTGGTCCCGTGGTCAGTGTCTGGCACCTTCAACTGCTTCTCCCCATCTGGTGGTGTCACCAAACAAGCCCCATTCTCAAAGTTGTGTAGGTGTACCCTCCATCCTAAGTCTGGAGGTGTTTTCAGTGTCAGAGAGGTTCTAGGTGGGGTGGGGTTCAGGCCGGAAGTGTGGGCCTGGTGCAGGAAAGTTGGAACAGGTGAGGGTGCATGTCAGGTGAGTGACTCAGGCCCCTTCTCCACTCCAGGACAGGAAAACGCTAAAGGACCTTGGGATGAGGCCTTTGCTTCTCTGAAACCTTTACCTCAGACTTGCATCTAGAACTTGCCTGCGTTTTTCTGTAATTCCGAATTGGTTATGAAAATGTGAGGTGTGTCGTGTGCTGCTCCGTGGCTGGGCCGGGTTCCAGGGGTGCCCAGTGAGGTGCTGCTGGAGGAGTACGAGAGGGTGCAGGGCCCCCAGAACGGGCTGCCTGGCTCGAGGTCAGCAAGGCGCGAACGTGCGTGCAGAAACGAGCAAATGAAAGGCAGGAACACTTTTAGAATTGGTGTCAGGCTTGCAAACTTCTCCAGAAGTTGGGCAGTAGGCTGAGGTATAAATCTAAAACTCTGAGCTGTGTGGACTCCCAAGAGAGATACTTGAACTAGTCAGTTCAGTGTTTCATTTCGCATGGCAACCTCTCTTGGTTACTTAGGAGAAAGAAAGCACCGTAGGATTTCAGTTTAACGTATCGTAGGACCAAATCTTAACCAAATGGAGTCCCCAAGTAGTCGTCCCTTTATGTGCCAAATGTAACCACACTTCTCACTCAGTGCTGCTTCTGACTCTTTTTAAACATGCACTTTACTTTTTTTAAAATGTAATTTGCTTTGTGAAGTTTTGGGAAGGACTTGTAAAACTGGCCATTCAGTTTGGTTAAACTCCTTAGAGTCTAATTTTTGGATTTTTAAAGGCGTGAGCGTGCTGGATAGTTGTATTATATATTGCTGTCCAACAAATCAGCCCAAAATTTAGTGCCTTAAGCATGAGTTGTTACCCCCCAGTTTCTGTGGGTCAGGCGTCTGGGCACGGCTAGTCCAGGTCCTCTGCTCAGGGTCTCACGGGCTGCAGGCAGGCTGCCATGGGGCCTGAGTCTTGTGCGAAGGCTCCACTGCCAGGCCAGCTTCCAGGCTCACACGTGAGGTGTCAGTCCCTTTGCACGCGGGACCCTTCTACGTGGGGCTCTCCACAGGGCAGCTCAGAGGTAGCCAGACGGCCAGTCTTCATGACCTCATCTTGGCAGTGACATTCATCCCTTTTGCCATATTCTGTTTGTTAGAACCAGTCGCCAGGCCCAGCCCACACTTGAGGGGGAGCAACTGCATAGGGCGTGTGTACTGGGAGGGGGTGAGGGTCACTGGGGCTGTCTTAATGGCTTCAGTAATGAGGGCCTGTACCTGAAAAGTACCTGTAGGTGGATTAACAGAACTATGTACAGAGTAGAGGATTAAGTTTGAGGCTGCAGTAGTTCAGTTGTCCTTTTAGTTGTATAGGTACCTCCGATGTCACCACGGTGACTGAAACTATTATGCTACTTGGAGCTTACACGGGAGGGAAGATAAATTGCAAGTAGGAAAGATTTTTAGGAATTAACCTACAGCCCCTGCAAATTATATCTCAGGGGTATGTGTCAGTAATGTAGAATTCTTTGATAGCTGCCAATGATTTTGCTCCAGAAATTATACACTGACCTTTGTAAGAAGTTTTTTAAAGGTCTGAGATCCAGAACTGTTTGGGATATCTGATCCTTGTAAAGAAGTGATGCTCCCAGAACCTGTGTGCCCCCCGTGTGCCTGGGCTCCGATGCCGTGCCTCTTTTTGGCATTCTGGGCCAGAGTCTGTAGCACAGGGCTGTGAAGGGCAGCACAGGGCTGTGAAGTGCACCAACTAAATGTGGTCGCCCTGAAGGACTGTCCCAGGAGCCCCACCCAAGGGAGGCTTCCCTTCCTGCTGCCTGGCTCTCTCTGGACCCGCCCAGGTTCCGCCCTGCTAGCAGGAGGCAGGGCCCTTTGCTGTGCTTGGGATTACCTGTTAAGGCTTTTGGGTTAGATTAGAAAGCGAGGTTTGTTTTGGTCTGTACTGCTGCTCTTTATGGGGATTCAATGGGCCTCCTCGTCCACACTGGCTCCTAGGCCAGCACTGTGTCTACTCCCAGTCCCGGAAAGCTGTCCCCTACTCTGTTCTCCATTTGGTCCCGTGGTCAGTGTCTGGCACCTTCAACTGCTTCTCCCCATCTGGTGGTGTCACCAAACAAGCCCCATTCTCAAAGTTGTGTAGGTGTACCCTCCATCCTAAGTCTGGAGGTGTTTTCAGTGTCAGAGAGGTTCTAGGTGGGGTGGGGTTCAGGCCGGAAGTGTGGGCCTGGTGCAGGAAAGTTGGAACAGGTGAGGGTGCATGTCAGGTGAGTGACTCAGGCCCCTTCTCCACTCCAGGACAGGAAAACGCTAAAGGACCTTGGGATGAGGCCTTTGCTTCTCTGAAACCTTTACCTCAGACTTGCATCTAGAACTTGCCTGCGTTTTTCTGTAATTCCGAATTGGTTATGAAAATGTGAGGTGTGTCGTGTGCTGCTCCGTGGCTGGGCCGGGTTCCAGGGGTGCCCAGTGAGGTGCTGCTGGAGGAGTACGAGAGGGTGCAGGGCCCCCAGAACGGGCTGCCTGGCTCGAGGTCAGCAAGGCGCGAACGTGCGTGCAGAAACGAGCAAATGAAAGGCAGGAACACTTTTAGAATTGGTGTCAGGCTTGCAAACTTCTCCAGAAGTTGGGCAGTAGGCTGAGGTATAAATCTAAAACTCTGAGCTGTGTGGACTCCCAAGAGAGATACTTGAACTAGTCAGTTCAGTGTTTCATTTCGTGCGGCAACCTCTCTTGGTTACTTAGGAGAAAGAAAGCACCGTAGGATTTCAGTTTAACGTATCGTAGGACCAAATCTTAACCAAATGGAGTCCCCAAGTAGTCGTCCCTTTATGTGCCAAATGTAACCACACTTCTCACTCAGTGCTGCTTCTGACTCTTTTTAAACATGCACTTTACTTTTTTTAAAATGTAATTTGCTTTGTGAAGTTTTGGGAAGGACTTGTAAAACTGGCCATTCAGTTTGGTTAAACTCCTTAGAGTCTAATTTTTGGATTTTTAAAGGCGTGAGCGTGCTGGATAGTTGTATTATATATTGCTGTCCAACAAATCAGCCCAAAATTTAGTGCCTTAAGCATGAGTTGTTACCCCCCAGTTTCTGTGGGTCAGGCGTCTGGGCACGGCTAGTCCAGGTCCTCTGCTCAGGGTCTCACGGGCTGCAGGCAGGCTGCCATGGGGCCTGAGTCTTGTGCGAAGGCTCCACTGCCAGGCCAGCTTCCAGGCTCACACGTGAGGTGTCAGTCCCTTTGCACGCGGGACCCTTCTACGTGGGGCTCTCCACAGGGCAGCTCAGAGGTAGCCAGACGGCCAGTC